AAGGGCCTATCTTTTACTTTATGTCTTTTACTTTATGCAAGAGTCAAGGTGATCTTCACCTTTCCCTTTTTCATTTTATCCTTTGGCAAGCACTTTGTGTTAGGGTGATCCTGATATATATATCCAATTGGATGTATGTTAGCATGAACTATTATTGTTAACATCACCCAAAGGTGAATACGTTGGGAGGCAACATTATAAGCCCCTATCTTTCTCTGTGTCTGATTAAAACTCCATAACCACAAGTATTGCGTGAGTGTTAGCAATTGTAGAAGACTATATGATAGTTGAGTATGTGAAGTTTGCTAAATCAAAGCTCTGACATAGACCCTTCCTGAAAATAGGATGAATTGCAATTGTTTGATGACTAAGAATGAAGTTTGCTAGTTTTCAAGAAAGTTTATGGTCTATGCTTTAACATGTGAATAGCTTGTTACTTGATTATGAATAGTTTTATGAGATGAACAACTGTTATGACATATAAACATGCTAGAAAAGGTGATTGAAATTATCATTGATCAAACTTGTGCACCTCTAGCATTCATACTTCATAAATTCTTTCTTTTATCATTTACCTACTCGAGGACGAGCAAGAATTAAGCTTGGGGATGTTGATACGTCTCCAACGTATCTATAGTTTATGAAGCATTCATGCTATTTTATTATCTGTTTTGAATGATTATGGGCTTTAATTATTATACACTTTTATATTACTTTTGGGACTAACCTATTAATCGGAGGCCCAGCCCATATTGTTGTTTTATTGCCTGTTTCAGTATTTTGAAGAGAAGGAATAGCAAATGGAGCCCAAACGGAATGAAACCTTCGGCGGCATGATTTTTGGAAAGATTATGATTCAGGAGACTTGGAGTGCAAGCCGGGGGGTCATCGAGGAATCCACGAGACAGGGGGGCGCGCCCTACACTCTCGTGGGCCCCTCGAGGCTCCCCCGACCGACTTCTTTCGCCTATATAAGCCTACGTACCCTAAAAACATCGAATATCAAGATATATCGGGAGTTCCGCCGCCGCAAGCCTCTATAGCCACCAGAAACCTCTCGGGAGCCCTTCCCGGCACCCTGCCGGAGGGGGGATCCTTCACCGGTGGCCATCTTCATCATCCCGGCGCTCTCCATGACGAGGAGGGAGTAGTTCACCCTCGGGGCTGAGGGTATGTACCAGTAGCTATGTGTTTGATCACTCTCTCTCTCTCTCGTGTTCTCTCTCGTGTTCCCTATATGGCATGATCTTGATGTATCCTGAGCTTTGCTATTATAGTTGGATCTTATGATGTTTCTCCCCCTCTACTCTCTTGTGATGAATTAAGTTTTCCCTTTGAAGTTATCTTATCGGATTGAGTCTTTTATGAGAACACTTGATGTATGTCTTGTCGTGCTTATCTGTGGTGACAATGGGATATCATGTGCCACTTGATGTATGTTTTGGTGACCAACTTGCGGGTTCCGCCCATGAACCTATGCATAGGGGTTGGCACACGTTCTTGACTCTCCGGTAGAAACTTTGGGGCACTCTTTGAAGTACTTTGTGTTGGTTGAATAGATGAATCTGAGATTGTGTGATGCATATCATATAATCATGCCCACGGATACTTGAGGTGACAATGGAGTATCTAGGTGACATTAGGGTTTTGGTTGATTTGTATCTTAAGGTGTTATTCTAGTACGAACTCTTGAATAGATTGATCCGAAAGAATAACTTTGAGGTGGTTTCGTACCCTACCATAATCTCTTCGTTTGTTCTCCGCTATTAGTGTCTTTGGAGTGACTCTTTGTTTCATGTTGAGGGATTGTTATATGATCTATCTATGTTATTATTGTTGAGAGAACTTGCACTAGTGAAAGTATGAACCTTAGGCCTTGTTTCCTACCATTGCAACACCGTTTACGCTCACTTTTATCATTAGTTACCTTGCTGTTTTTATAATTTCAGATTACAAATACCTTTATCTACTATACATATTGCACTTGTATCACCATCTCTTCGCCGAACTAGTGCACGTATACAATTTACCATTGTATTGGGTGTGTTGGGGACACAAGAGACTCTTTGTTATTTGGTTGCAGGGTTGTTTGAGACAGACCATCTTCATCCTACGCCTCCCACGGACTGATAAACCTTAGGTCATCCACTTGAGGGAAATTTGCTACTGTCCTGCAAACCGGTGCACTTGCAGGCCCAACAACGTCTACAAGAAGAAGGTTCTGTAGTAGACATCACCCGTCATGCCGGCACCGATACCGGCGCCGGCCCTTCCCACCCCACGCGCGGATCTGCGAGGCCTACAAGATCTACTCCTCCCACCCGACGGCCTCCTCCACCTTCGGCCGCTGCTCCGCATGGGCAGCGCTGGGTTCTAGTGCCCGCTCAGCCGACGCCACAGATGCAGACTCCGGAGTCGGAGGCACGAGCTGCCCGCCGCGAGAGGCAGAGGGCTAGGGAGATGGCGCGCGCGTCCAACGGGTCTGCGCGTCCACCCGCCGCCGCTGGGTGCTTGACGAGGAGGACCGGCGTGCCGCCAGTCAGTGACTGAGGCGGAGACGAAGGCCTGACGGCTCCGGAGGCTCAACGCCAAGCAGCTCTGGCTTTGCATTGAGCAATCCGAGCGGGAGGCGGCGGAAGCAGCGAGGGTGGCCAAGCTCAAGCGCCAGAAAGACCGCGTCGTCCGGCACTTGCAAGGCTTCATCGTCATCTCCGGTTCCTCCTCCTCTGACGGGTCCGACGACTCCGACGTGGATCCACCTCCTTCCACGGACTCCTACAGCTTCGCTGGTGACCGGAAGGACAAAGGGCCGACGAGGAAGTGGTGAAGATCCGTCTTTATTTCAAGTTTTTAGTTGTAGTTTGAAATTGCCCGCCGTATTATGTGTATTATGTGAACTTTGGCTATCTTTCGATGATCCGCCTGTGATCTTCTGATGAACTGATTGTGCATTTGTATGCCTGCTCATGATCTATGTAGTTTTTATCAATATTGCATAGTTTAGTATGAAAATAGGGGATGGAATATGAGATACGTGGGTCTGAAGAGGCGAATATAGAAAGTGCTCGGTCAGTGCCCGTGGACGCGTCCGGGCGCGTCCGCGGGCGTTTGAGGAACCGGATTGCTGAGTCCGGCCGTAGATGCTCTTAGTTGGCACCTATTTGGCTGCATCCAATGTCCAAGAGGGAGACAGTCCGGGGCCATGGCCAACGGGAGCACCACTAGTACTAGCAAGGCAAAAAAGTGCAAAGGTGTAGCGCATGTGACCTAGCAAAAATGATGTCTCAGTTAAGCGACGTAAGCATGTTTCTTTGCTACAAACGGCAATGGAAAATGTTGCGACGGTATTACAAGCAACAACAATAAATGCTACAAACGTCAATGAAAGATGTTACAACTGATGAGATGACGTGCTACAACTGATGAGGAAGGACATGCTACAACCAGCAAGACGGATGTTGCACATGGTAGAAAAAAATATTGCAAACGATGACATAAAATGCTGCATGGTCGACTGAGACTTGGCTAAATCTCAGTCGACTAATTTTTAGCAGGCCCAAATTTGAAAGTACAGTGCAATTGCACGAAACCAGCATTTTTTGGCGTGCATGAACCCAAGATCAGGTATCCAATTCTCCTTGCTGCGGTTGCAAGCTTGGGAATGCAAGGACGGTCACCCAGGCTGGAAAGCCGGCCAGCAAATGGAGTGGCCACCGTACACAAATAACCGCATATCAAATATTATCTTCCATTTCCAATCTTTTTCAGACATTTTCTTATTTATTTTAGTGTAACAAAATTGGTTTCTCCTATGTTTGCATTCTTGAGTTCTAATGGGCCGTTCTCTGTGATCGTCGGCTTCTAACTTGGAAGATTACTCCCGCACGAGGCAAACCTAAAATGAGGGCATGAGCAATGGAGTTCAGATCGGTAATTGAGCATGCATATTCCACATCGTTTCTACATTATTTAAATTTTGTGCAGGTGCAATATTTACATTACATTGTGCATTTCCTCTTGTTTTCGGATGTTTAAATTAACAATTCCAAAGACGAGACTATTTCTACCACGGCCAGCAACCACCGCACCCAGCACTCTGAGAAACCAAGCGCATGTGCAACGACCCCTTATAGTTTAGAGGAGGATACGGCTGAGTATCCTTTAGATGAGTATATTGGCCCCGCTAAAATATTGTCGTTTCTAACCAATCCCTTGAACTTTACTTCATTTTTCTTTTCAAAATTGTTTAGCTTTGGGCCTCCGAGTTAAATTTCACTACTCAGCTATTTTATTGAATGACATCTTGGTCAGATACTTCACCAGTTCTTATGAGTCTTCTGATCTACATCAAAGACTTCCCGGGTACTACTTCTACAAGTTCTTGGGTTTAAACAAGTTTGCTTCGCCGAAGCGGAAGCCAGAGACGGCATAGAGTTTTGCTCACGGCGCGCCACCGAGGATGCATGAGGAAGAATATTTTGGCACACCTAAGAAATTGATTGTAATTTTCTTTCTCTATACAGGTGTATTTGTAAATACTTGTGATACTTATATATGGCTTTTGACTTTTGTCCTTTTAAAAAAAGATGATAATCAAGTAAAAACATTATAGTTTTTTCCAAGAGTTGGGACATTTTTTAAAGTTTCCCACGGGCCTCTGAATTTTACTGGTTCGGCGGAGCAAACTTAAAAATGCCAGTAACTAAGCATAGTACGTACTCCACATCATTTATACATTTATACAGTATTCACATTAACATATCTGTATGTGCATTCCCTCCTGCTTCTCTGACGTCTAAATTAGCAACGCCCAAAACAGTGAAACACGACTGCTTCTACCACCCAACTTGACAAACTAATCCACATACCATTTGCCGCGTGTATTTCAACCGTCCGATCTAACATCAGCGGCCGGAACCACGCATCTCTCGCGGCTAGGCGGGGCAGGGCTATGTGCAAAAATGCCCCTTTTTTCTGGCAGTCTCGTGTGCCCTGCGCCTCTACTCGCTCTCCAAAATGGCGGTTAAGTCGGGCGAGAACCGCGGCGGCGACCTCCCGCCTCGGTAGGCCACCCTCCGCTTCTGCGGCACCGCCGGCTTCACTGCAAACTTCGCCAAGGTTTCGTCGGAGTAATCCTCCTCCGACGGCGCGAACATGAGCGGCGCCACGGAGCCTCGCCGGCGCCGGCCGCCAGCTGACGAGGCGGTGGCGGCCTTGACGAGGGCGGCGCTGGCCTTGACGACGAGCGAGGCCACCTCCTCGCCTGTGAGGCAGCGGCGCAGCATCTCTGCGGGGAGCACGAAGTAGATCTGCCCCGGCTGGAGCCGCTCACCGGCGGCCATCGCCGCGACGGAGCCCTCGAACCCCATCGCGTCGGCGTCGCAGACGAACCACTCCTGGTGCCCCACCTCCTCAAGAGCCAGCGCTGCCGTCGCGGGAGGCGAGTACTCCCGGAGCTCGCCGCTGGGGAGCACCACCCTCGCGGCCGCCGCGTCGTACGACACACACAGGCCCATTCCGTCTTGTTCGTCGCGTGTGTGCTGCTGCTGCTAGCTGCTTGCTACTGTCTGGTTCTTTCTCTTGTTCGCGCTGTTGTGGTGGTAATTAATGTGGTTGCTGCCGGAGACGGTGATGAGGAGGAAGAGGTATATATAGCGGAGCGGCTGAGGACGACGCAGCACGCAGCGTTGTCGTGTAGCCGGGTGTGGGGGCAGAACAGGCTGGAGGCTTGTTGTGGCCAGCGAGGCCGTGGAGCCGTGGACTCGGCCGGGCTTTTCTTTGCGGTGCGCTCCGCCCAACTAGCAAAACCTCACGAGGTTAAGTTGCACAGCACACACAGCGAGGCACAGTCCAAATACTATCACCGTTCGGAAATACTTTGACGTGGTTTTATTTCATTACACGTACAGTCAAATGCGGCAATGCGTTCTTCATGATAAACATCCAGCAAACAATCTAACATGCAGGTCCTCAGTGCAGCTCCTTGCCGCCAGACTGGCATCCAACGGTTTCAATAATATTTCAAATTCCTGGTTTGGCTTCAAGCTTTCATTTTAAAAATAAAATCCCATTTATCGACAACTTTTTATTTTTATTATCCTAAGCTTTCATTTTTTAATCTGTTTTACTGGTTGAGCTACAAAGAGTGTGAAAATCACATCACCTGCTAATCAAACCCCTTTAAGTCAACGAGTACCAAGTTTTATTTGAAAGTTGAGAGGGTTTGTCTACTTTCTAGAGTTTAGATGACAAAATTGTTCAAGACAACCAGTAAGGGACTTTTGTAATAACAATTTTGTAGTTTGAATTATTGTACAATTTTTGTAGTTTGAATTATTGCCTGACAAGTTTCATTCGAGTTTGTTGGGCAGGAGAGCCATGTGTGTAAAACCAAGACAATGAGAATTGGCCGGATATTAACCCATCTTTTATGGGGCCATGCGCGCGCACACAAATACACATTGGTGACTTTTGAGCTTTTTTTATAGGCTTGCGTGCAACTCTTTGGGTTAGTTCGTTTGGGGCATATAGCTGGTTGTGTAAATAAAATACATCTCTTCCTCAACTTATTCTAGAAGCTCAACCTAAAATTTTATTTTAGAAACTTACTAGTTAATCCTTTATTAGCATGCTTCTAAAATAAAATTTTGGGTTGAGCGTCAAGAATAAGCTGGGGAGTATTTTAGGAATGGGGCTCATTGTATGCAAGGTAATCACAACCTAATATTTTAGGAATTTCATTAGATTTGCAAATGGCCTTGCAAACCTCAACGGGGAGAAAGTACCTTTCTCGTTCAAACGACGAGCGCTTAGCTGCGTGCACGATACAAACGTGAAGCAGAAGTTTATGGAATATCCCCTCCCAACGTTTGCGTCACTGACCTTTTTTCAGTTGCGCGTAGGCCAAAAGCCTTGCCAAAGTCTCATGTACGTACGCATGTAGCCCCCCGTTCGGGAGCGAGACGTGCGAAGTGGGAGCGCCGGAGCGGCGCCATGCCGCGTCTCGTCATGGGCCACGGCGTTACGCGTGGCGCGCCCGGCGGAGCAACGTTGACGGAGTTCATGTGGCCGGCCGCATGGGCCACTGGCCTAATTCGATTCTGCGACGACGGATGTAGACCGTAGCTTGCTAGATACGTACGCGTAGGTTCAGTGAACGGCCGCGTTTTGTTTGTGTGCGTGCATGGTTCCGTCATCCACTACCGGACTCGCGGGCTATGCCTACGGCCCAGGACCGTCGGCATAGGTCCTCTGCCATCGGCATAGATCTATGCCTATGGCTGCCGTCGGCATAGCCCCGTCAGTGTAGATGTGTCAGACCGTCGGCGTAGTATAGCCGTCGGCATAGGTCCGTATGCCGATGGCCGTGGGACAACCGTCCACATAGTTTAGCCGTCGGCATTGTTTTTCGTCTGACGGCAACGGACGGCGCCGTCAAAAGCGCTAGCGAACCAGGGGAAGACACGTGGCGCAGGTATGCAGCCGTCGGCATACCTGCGCCACGTGTCGTCCCTTGGCTTCTCCTGGCGGCAGGGATATGCCTACGGCAAAGCCGTCGGCATAGATGGAATATGCCTACGGCCAGGCCAAAACTCCTTCAACAGGACAGTGATAAGGCTGTTCGGTTTACGGCCCTTTCTGCGAAGGATCCAGTTACTGCAAAAGAATCAAAGGATTGCCATGTGTACAATAAGAAAATGTTGTCATCTGTTGAAAATATGATTGAGATGCACTTACTCTGTCCCCGCAGGTTCAATGATTCACTTGTGCGCCTCGATAGAAGGTGGTGTAGGTACTCCGGCATTATCACGCAGCCACCCCTGCGGAGCACCCGGTGGCAAGTCACCCCACAACTCGAGGTCAACCTCCCCTCCACCCTCCTCGCCCTCCGCTCACCCTCCTCCTCGGCCTCCTCCTCCTCGCCATCAGGAACATACTCCTCCTCCTCAGACTCAGAAGCTGACTCAGCATAGGAGGGCATCGAAGAAGACCCTCCTATTTTGGACACGGCCCGGAGTTTTTTGGCCCGGTTGCCTCTCCCCCCACCTCCTCGTACTCTAGGGGCTCTCCCCCCACCCCCTCCTCCTCTAGGGTCTCTCCCCCGACCCCTCCACCTCCCTGTGAGGTGCCATCCTAGCGTAGTCGGGAGGGAACCTTGTGGGCTCGTCCACTCCGAGTAAGTCCTCCTTTGAGCTTACTGAGGAAATTGGCGCCGCTGGACTTGCCCATGATTAGCAAACCTGGATTGAGAAGAGAATAAACAATTAGTAAGGATATAAAAAAACATACAGGAAAAACATTAATAACAGAAGAGCACATTAAGCATACTATTGTAATGATCATTAAAAGAACTTAAATTTTCTAGAACCCATATGAATCATCACTATTGTAATCTATTTGTCGACCGGTCTCATCATCACTATCCCGCATATCTTCTTCATTGTCTGACGGAGGTGGAGGCTCTTCCTCATCGTCAGCGTCAGCGTCTTCATTTAACTTTTCAAGCATAATTATGTCTCTTTGATTCGCAATTGCCTCACCATCAATCCATGCGACATCGTCGTTTGGGTCCAGGTCAACATAACCCAAGTCATCATCCTCCTTGTTTCGGACCACGTCATCATGTTCCTCTTGAAAGAACACTCCCTCGTATGTCATGGGGTTTATGTTGTAGTAATCATCATCGTTCGGGTCCGGTAGCTTACCATGTGGCGACACCTTGAACACAACTTCCCAACCCTTTAGGTACTCTTTCTGGCATGGGTAAGGCAGATAATATACTTGTGTGGCCTGGGTAGCGGCGATAAAGAGATCAGCTCCGGCATAGACGGTTGATGGTTTAACTTCAACTAAACCAACAGAAGGCGTATGTCTCAGACCCTTTTTGGGGTCGAACCATCGGCTTTGAACACAGTGAGACTTAGGTGTTTACGGCCACGTTTGAATGTAAGCCTATATATTGTTCCTACCCTTCCGTAGTAATCTACTTTATTATCTCCTTCGGTGAAGACTCCGGTATTTATAGTTTTGGGATCAGGCCGACTGTTCTGGTGCTCCTCTGTATGGAAGCGATACCCATTCACATCATACTTTTGGCATGTCATGACGGTAGGGTCAAAACCCATGGAAACTCATCTCAATTCTTCATCCATTGATTCGTTCGGATCATTTCCCTACAAATTTAATTGAAATTATAGGGTGCATGAGTTTAATTGCAAGTGTGAAATGGGTAATAGGGAAGTGTGAAAAATTACTTTCTCCATGAACCACGCAACGAAATTTTTCCTTCCATCGGCACCCTTTCAGAGAAGAGCAAGTGCCTCCGCTTCAGTAGGAGGCAATATTCCCGTCCACTCTTCCTCAAAGAATCGACTACAATAAGAAAAGCGGTATAAGAACTAGGCAAAGTGAACATAATGAATTGACTAAAAGAATGGTGCAAAGGTATTACCTCATCCACACATCCTCAACTTCCTTGATGTTGTGCAAGATATAGAACATGACATCCTCCCACTCATCTCGTAGCATGACATAAGATGTCGAGCATCCATCCCTGCCACATTGCCCGATGAATAGAGGCAACTTGGGTTTATACTTGGGTTCTTCTGTATTGTATCGAGACACCTTATTGTCCAACGTGGGAACATGGTTCGGATAGTAGGCTATCCTGAGGTCTGCCACCTCCTCTAGGATAACTGCCTCAGCTATGGAAGCTTCAATCTTAGCTTTGTTTCCACATTTCTGTCTCAGATGCTTGTTCTGTCTCTCAGAGCTGTACTGCCAACGATACTGCACAGGCCCCCCCAACAATACCTCGTTCGCAAGGTGCAAAATGAGATGCGTCATCGAAGTAAAGAAGCCTGGCGGGAAGATCTTCTCTAGCTTGCATATCAACTCCGGCGCCTTCTTATGCATTTCTTTTATCTTCTCGGGACATACTTCTTTAGCACAAAGCGTGCGGAAGAAATGGCTTAACTCCGCAAGCACACGCCAAACATGCTCGGGAACATAGCCCCGAACCATCACCGGCATAATCCGCTCAATCCATACATGATAGTCATGACTCTTGAGCCCGGTCACTCTGCCCGTTGAAAGATTGACCCCCTTACTTATATTCGATGCATAACCATCAGTGAACTTCACGATGTGTTTCAGCCACTTGAATGCCTCCATATTATGATCCTTTTTAAGTACGAAGCCAGCATCTGGCTTGAACCAAGATTTTTGACTGCCTGTGGGAGGTTGCATGTGAAGACGTGGTCTATCACAAATATTCTGTTGATCGACTCTAGCATTAACATTATCCTTTGTCTTATCAGGAATGTTGAGGATCGTGTGAAAAAGAGACTCTGCGACATTCTTTTCAGTGTGCATCACGTCGATGTTGTATCGAAGTTTGAGGTCCTTAAAATAGGAAAGCTGCGTGAAGGGGGTAATGTGAGTCCAGTTGTGTGTCTCACCATATCCTTCAAAACATTTTTTCCCTTTACCTTTTCCTTTGCCCTCGTCTTCACCT